TTTTGAATCCCATGATTCTCTTTCCATCCTAGTTCTTTTGTCTTCATGTACATCAAATCATAACGGCCTGTTCTTTGAAATTCCATAATCTCATTACATATCTTCTCAAGATATTCCTTTTTGGCCCTGTCCGTGGCTCTTTTCAATTCATTCCTCAGTCTCCTGTATTTCCTCCTGCCTTCTTCATTGTTGACATTCTTCCATTTTCTTCGCTCCTCCATTTTACTCATCATCTCCTGTGTAACCCATGGTTTTCTTGCTATCTTCTCAACTTTACCTATCAAATCACTGATAGTATCTATACCAAGAAATAAATATACTTTAGAATTTTTGCACTTATGTAATTCAGGATATAAGCAGAGTTGCAAAAATTATTCATATAATTTATTCCATGATGTCTTGTGCTTTCAGGCTACTGATATTGTAAATTGTAGTATACTATGAACACACTGTCAGATCAGGGCTCTATAGTTTCTCCATTCTAACATTTCTGAGGTCAAATTTTTATCATAATGTGGGTTTCAGCATAGCACACAGAAGGATGTATTTATCCTGCATCAGTAAGGTAAAGTTGTCCCTCTACTTAACTAATTAAGCACTATGCATGAAGGTGTAGGGGGAGTGGATGTAGAGATCCACATTTTCTTGAACTTGGCACTAGTCAGAGGTGAGTGGTCAGCTTCATGCCCCTGCCACTTTACCACTGGGGAAAGAACCCCTGGTACCCAATGGATATGAGGTTGGGTGGATCCCAGAGACAGTCTGGATGACTTGGAGAAGAGAAAATTCTTGCCCCACCGGGACTCAAACTCCAACCCCTCAGTCATCCAGCCCATAGCCAGTTGCTATACCAACTGCGCTATCCCAGATCCCCTATCCTGATAGCATTATATGAATTTAAAAGTGGGTGGTGTAGTTCCCATTTACTGTAATGTGGGGAACTGAGTAGGCTGGCTCACATAGTAACACTTCTGTGTTCATGGTTTTTGTCAGCCCCTTTGAACTAGTGCCCTGACTGCTTCATTCCACATTCTTGCAAATTCGTGTGTATGAATATCTTCTTACACCAAATACCACATCCTTAAATGACCTACAGGCATCAATAATACAAAAGTTTTGGGCATAGAGGTTGTTGTTGTTGTTATTGGAGAGGGTGGGTTTCCCCATGCACTTAGACCAGATATTGGTCCATTGTGCATCCCCCTGAGATATTCTACCAGTCTCTATACCCTACCGGTACTGGTGCGTGCCATCAGTCCCGACTCAGCCAGTGAGTTCAGCCTCTACTGGCTCAGCGGTATCTCGATGCTTCCCCCATCTACCAGAGGCGTTAGAGACTACTGTTGGGCGGGAAATGTCCTGAATTTGGCTCAGAGGTCCCCTTGAGACATGAGGTTCTTTTATGAGCCGTAGAGCTACAACACAGGACCCACGGCTTAAAGTCCCTCCCAGAGGACTTGTTCCCTGAATTTTTCCGCCCTTAAAAAATTCCATGACCTCCACTGGGTTTGAACCCGCGTACCTTGAGTCACGAGGTGGGAACGTTACCCCTAAACTACAGAGGCTGCTTGGGCAGAGGTTACTCTCCAGGGTTCAAATTTTGGGAGAATCAAGCTCTTGAACAGCCTCCCCACCCAAAGTGGAGAACTCCCACCACTTCCTCTTAAGAGTGCACCACTATTTCACATACTTAGTATCTGACCACCAAATCTTCAGATTACAGCAACATAAGCAAATGACTCTGACAATTCTTCATGAAAATTCTGACATCAACTATCCATTAAGTACATAACATAACACATGCAGTATGAAATAAACACACACCAATGCCTCAGTGGACTATACAGCCGTTACAGCAATAGTGAGCAAATGTAAACATTAACACTTTCCATATGGTTTCATTTACAAAACAAATGCTTTCATTTGTTTTCATGGTACTCTATAATGTTTACTGATGAAAGCCACAAATACTTGGCTCAAAATATCTAGAGGTGGCAGAATATACATTCATTGATGTTTTCAAATAGAGACCTTTGGAACAGAAGTAGTTCACAGTTCTGAGTAAGAAATCATGTTCATAATATATAAAGGGTCATACACAGTACACCTAGCTACATTCCTGTAGATTATGGAAGATCCAATAATTGTCTTCATCACAATATCTTGGCAGTACAGTGGAAGGGCTGAGTGATAATAAATATGATTAAACTGAATGGCTTCCATGCTGGTCTTCCGGGAAAACAGAAACTTCATTTGATACAGCTGCTATCAGTGATGGTAGTCTGTGTAGTGAGACAGAGAAACCCAAGCATATCATTTGCAGTTGTCACTTATTATTAAAGCCTACCTCAAATGTTCAAACAAGGCAAGATGAGGTGCAGAACTCTGCAATGCACATTAGATTTATTTTTGTGCATAAGAATTTAGGCAGACAATTCTTCATTTAACATTATGGGGACATTATGAGCAAATGAAATATTTTATAGATAACAAAATGCTAGGACAGTATAATTAGAATGAAACACAGTGAAGCACTGAACAGAAGAGTCATCCTAGGCATGTTCAAAAGCCATAATTATAGGATCGGAATCTCAGTGATTTAAAATTGTCAGTATATAGACGAGAGTTACACCTACAAAACAGTGACAGAAAATTAAAATGCAATGTTTATTTTTGGGAAGACAATAAACATGCTGAAGAAGTGCAGACATGTCATATAGGAAAAATCAGGCATGTTCCATAGTATACCCACCAGATGGACCAAGAAGTTTCATCTCAGATTTCAGCTTTGCCTGCAATAGCCTCAACCATACAATCATTAGAGAAATGCACACAACATAAAAAGTAATTCATAAAGTTCAACTATTATTCAGAACTTCTTTTGCCTGGAAAATATTTATACAGTGAGTATTCTAGACTGCACTTCTGTGAGGTAGACTTATACATTATCTTTCCATTTTGTGCATACTGTTTTGTTATTATATACAATTTCTTTATTAGAATCTGTCACAACACACCAATATAAAGGTCAAGGCTAAAATTAGGTTGGCTACATGTTTCAGCTATTAGAGCCATCATCAGGCAAACACATCATTACCATATTCACACACTACTGAA